ACCAATCAAGAAGCGGACCAGTGCAACGTCCGCGTGCTGGTGAAAAGAAACCAGCGGTTTTAACCTCTTGGGTGATGTTCTTACGGTGGTGCTCCAAAAAAGACTCAAGCAGCCGCAGAAGTGGAAGCCGTGAAGAGAGACCAAGCCTTTGCAAGGCCTTCTGAAGATCCCTGCCGGGAAAACTCCCAGTTGCTGCTGGCACTGTTGGTGGGAAGAGGCAACTCTGATTGAAGGATCACCTCTCACACAGGACATGTACCTCCCAACACCCCCAAATCTTGTTGTAAATGAAGTACAGTAGGTTGAAAAGAACCCACCTGTGCAAAGGAGAATCTTAAGACCCACCTCATTCCTTGCACATCGCTCCATTTCCGAACGCCGGTCTGCTGAGGCGCGGACTGGAAAAAGCTGCAGCGTCTGGGATTGGTAGTCCTGGCAATTGGAAGGTTGACAGTCACAGTGGCAAGATGTGGTGCCGAAGGTGGACTTTGAGTCGGTGCCACAGGGCTTTGAGTCGATCTCTCCAGGTTAACATCTCCAAATCAGGTCGATCGACTTGGTTGTTGGGCCATGTGTCATGTCTCTCTTCACTGCCGATCGACTGAAAGCCGACAAACCAACGGCCGCATGCACCCCCCCTTCAGCAACGACTCGGACTTCCCCCACCCCGCAGGTCCTCGGTGTAATGCGTGTCACGCTCTAGTCCAGGATCTACCTCATCTGCAACAACTGAGATGGGGGGAGAGGGTGGGGCAAAAGCTGGGAAGGAGTGCAGAGTTGCATGATTGCGTGGCAGTTGCCCAGCTGAGAACTACCTGGCCATCCTTTCTCCACACTGGCCTTGGCCTTATTGGCCTTGGCCTTGGGTCAGGGCCAGTGCAAGGAGGCTATTGCCCGTCTCCAGGGCTACCGAGGCCATTGGCCCAGTGAAGCTCTAGAAGGAAGTCGGCCAAGAAGGTACCTCACTCAGCGATCCCGGTGCCTCGTCCCCCAGGAGTGGCTAGCCACCAAAAAAAGGTGGCAGGACCCCCAAACTGGCCCGCTGCGTTGGGAATCTATCCTCACATCTACCCCCCTATCCAATTTGATTTCACGGAGAGTAAATCCTGGCCGAAAAGCTGCTGTGCCTTCTTGGCTGTTGGGCTGAAAGAAAGACACGTCGTTTCGATCGCCCAAATCGCACCGGTCTTGGAGTCCAAATCGCTGATGCTTCTCACCTCAGGTCTTGCGAGGCATGAGTCGGCATGAGTCGCTACTTCCGCACATCATCACATCATCTTAGAACCATGCGACCATGTAGGAGTTCTGGAAAAATACACGAGTCAACTGCCACCACGGGTGGATCCGAAGCACCTTTCATTCTCTTTAATTCCGTGTCGTTATGTGAGTTAGTAACAATATGATCTTCTCTAGCCCCTGCTATGGTTTGAGATGGTTTGAGCATTCCACCAACCCATACCATTTCATTGTTACTTTGAGGCTTACTTTCTCTCTGGCCAAAAAAACGGTTTAGGAAGAAAGCACATGCTAAACATTTCCAGACTCATGGCGGAGACACCTTGGCAATCCCAAAAAGCACCTAGCTACTCAGCTTCGCCAGCCGGCTGCTACCGCTGCTGCCCTTCCGCAAAGGAGTGAATCAAGCTGGGCAAGGAACCTGGAAGCTCACCTCAACTTCCGGCAGCTTCTTGTACTTTGGTATCTTCTGCTTCTGCAGGAACTCGTGCAAATCCCTGGCCCCAGCTGCTTCAAGATGCAGGGACGAGAAATCGGAGATTGGACTCGGCATTGGAAGAAGTGGCGACTCAGTTGTTGACTTGCAACTGAACATTCTCTTTGCTGGTGACAACTGATGCACTCGGCCCTGTCTACCCGGTCGGGCGAACAATGAGGGCCGTGACACTCGGCCGTCTTTCGTGTGCTTTTGGGCCGTCTTTCTGAAACGGGTAGCTGGGAGTGACCGTCAGTTGTGCAACAGCATGCATGACTTGTCTTCTCAACACTTGGCTGGATTGCAGTTCATGTGAATTCGTACCCCTGCCCATTAAAGATCTCTGCATGGTTAAGTTGCAGCTGGCTTGCCTAGCGGGTGGGAGCTTAGGGCCCAAGGATGAACCCCCCTACCCTCAACCCGAAAGAACATGGCAAAGCTGCTGGAACCCAAATCAGCCCAAAAGCTTTCATGTTCCCCCTGTGCCGGGCATTCCGGCAAACATCCTGCAACCAATCTTTCTACAAGGCTCGTGAGTGGCTCATGTATGCACGCATGGTTACCAACATTTACCAACTACAACTTTTATACATCACACACACACACCGAATCATACATTCAAAATCATCCGAATATATGCATCTCTACTAAGGGTGCTCCTGCAAACGCTATCCGGATGGTCAGCTCCACATCGAAAGCACCTCAAAACGGCGAAAGCAGCATGAGCCGCTACTGATGAAACGACGCCTTCATGCAATGCCCCTAAGGCCTGAAGATGCCTGAAGGCTAGGTGAAAAGCCACTGAGTCGAGTGAATCCTTTGATCTGTGAACGATAGTAAGAAACTTCGATCGCACATGCAAACATGTTAGCGGATGCAGACCGCTTAGGGAATTAATGATGGATTCCAGGCTAGCTTGATGGGAACTCAAAGAATCAGCAAAGGGATGCAAAGCGGGTCCTTCGCTGATTCGCTCAGAACTTTGCAATCCATTTGTGCAAGAAATATGGCGACTGGCTGACAGGAGTTGGTTGACATAAGTCGGAACCTGCTTCCTCTACCACCTGTTCATGCTGTTGTGGGTCGTTTTGTTCGGTTCAGTCGCAGTCATTCATTTGGCCGCAAGAAAAGCAAACCTTCCTCAAGCCCAGCTCCAGGAAAATCTACAGGAACGTATTTCCAACACACTTGTAGGTCAGTTCATTCATAGTTTTCCTCTTCCGGGAGCTAAAACCTACGTTGAACTTCCCCTTATTGTTTCCACACTGATTTCAAACCAAGTCTCGTCTTAAAGAACTGCTATGGTCTTGGGTCTTGGTCTGCCCGTGGGTTGGGGACATTTCCATGGAAACCATTTCCCTCCTTTCAAGAACTCGCCCAGACACTTTGTGGATGTGGGCGGCAGCTGACCTGTGTGATGAGTTCACAAAGTGTTCGGAGTTTCAGTTGGGAACCCTACCCTTCTTCATCAGGTCTTTCATAGCTTTGGGAGGATAAACCCTCACATCTTTTCTCCTATATGTGGAGAATGCTTTCCCTCGAGCAAGCCAAGCTATTCTGTGTTTCATACAGAGCTCATGATGGCGGTTGGATTAAGGTCTTACGACTGATACTACTTGACCTGCTGATCTTGAGACAAAGCCCTGTGGATTCACGCAATCAGTGGACAGCACTTGATAGGTTCACTTCCCTTAGCCTTATTTTAGCCATAGCGTCGAGCCATAGCCAGCCATATCATGCCATCACGTCTTCAAAAAGGTCGACGTTTCGGTGGCCTTTCTTGAAGGAACGCTCCAAGTTTTGCCGCATCTTCTGCCTCCACATCGCCATCGACTAGAACACAGTGAGATGGGTGAAGCCACCGTGTGGCCGGCTTGGTCCTTCCATTAATTTCAGAAATTTTACATATAACACATCATAAAACGGCACGCACGAATTGGATATTTCAACTAGGGAGACCTCTCAAATTATTCCAACGCCCTCTGGAAGAAGGAACTTAGAACGACCCATTGATTGTGGGCCTCCCTATTAAAATACACACCCAAACTGCTCCGTTTCAAGAGCTTCTTCAGTGTGCTGTGACGATCCCTTTCGCTTCCTGTGTTCACCATTTTGGTAAGGGCTGTATAGCGACCAAAGCGGTTCACTGCTAGTCAATGAATCAAATCCAATCAGTGAGGTTTGAAAGCATTGAAGGATGAACAGCAGGACACCAACCTTGCACTGAATGTGTTCTGCTTCCTGTTTTCGTTCAGTGCCGGCGAACCCGGCCTGCTGTCCTCCTCAGCGGAGTCTGGGCAACGCGGTTTAATGGATGCCACTTTAACAGTCACTGTATACTCTCTCTCTCTCTCTCTCCCCCTCTCGGCACTACAGTAGTTATAGTGGATTGAGAGTAGATGGCACAGACCCCAAGAGGTGGTTTATATGGACCCCCATCTAGAGGACATCTTGGGGTGCCAGTGCCATCTGAAACCACAGGACATGGATGCTCCCCCCCCTCTCTCTAACAAACGTTGAACCTGAGCAAATCATCGTCTTCCGGCCGTTTGGGCGACCACGGGGCCGTCCCCCGAGACATCGGGCGCCCCACGGCGATCTCTTCCTGGCCAAAACAGGTCAAAACAAGCGGTTGCCGTCAGTTGTCATTCATGTCTGGAGAGCTTTTGTCCTGGGTATCCCAAACAGTGAGTGCGATGAGTTGAATTGATCCACCCCGTTCCCGCTCACAACATGAAGGAAGCGACTATTGCAGCATGTTTTTGACCCTCTGCATCCTGTACATGCGAGAGTCCACATGAGAAACCGAAAAGGACAGCTGGCGGCAGCTGGCCATGAGGCTTCTGACCCGAATCTTAGCAGTCCTGACCCTTACTCTCAATTCGGAGTTCGTTCTGTCTGACCTTCTTCGCCTTCTTCCAATGTCAACAAACCCGGGAAGAAGCGTTTCCAAGCCCCATGGTGCATCAATCCTCTTGTTGAGAAAGCGAAAAGCGCCCCTTTTGGGCGACAAGCTCGAATTCCCTGGCCAACAGAAAACGCACGGCAGGGATCGTATGCAGCCACTGGCTGCACCAAGAAAACAAGATGTTCATGACAAACCCACGAGAATCATGGAACATCCAGGAATAGAAGTCCTCAACCATCATTGGACCTTTCTGCAGTACCAGTAGCAAGTTGACAGTTGGAGACGCTGTTCGGAGATACCCACCATACATAATATATGCAAGCTGTCAGCCTACACTGACTTCCTTCACATGAGCTCTGTTAAGAATTTACGAAGCATATTGGACACCATTGCGAGAACCATTTACGAAGAACTGTCGCAGAACTGCATCCTTTCAATTCCAAGCAGAACTCACATGGCATCATCATGCTGCCGGCTGTACACCGCGTGGTACGCGCTGCTGATGCCTTTAGACAAACCCAGTGCCACCAAGGACCCTGCAGCCAACGAGCCCACGGCCACGCTGCCTCGCTGTCTGGGGCCGATTGGTGATTGGGAACCAACGGAAGTCTCGTGAAGTCTCCATCAAATTGATTGCTACTATTTCTGAAGATGGCTAGTGTGGAATCAAGTAGCTTTTGGCCAGTTTCAACTCGAGGAACCATCACAACGTGACCGGTTTCCTCTCCATGTTCCATCCATGTTCCATGGTCGTCCAAAAAAATGGCCAGGGCCATACATGGTCGCCAGGGCCATACATGTTTGTTCCTCTCCATGCTTCGGAACCGCTGGGAGCTGGGGTGGGAGCTCGAGTTCCCCGACATCCACGTGGCTCGCGGGGGCTCGCGTCCCTGGGGCGCCGGACAGCTGGCACCTGCAGCCACGGCCAAAGCACCCCTGGAGCGAACCAGGTCTCACGGCTCGACCGCCTCCCTGGTCCCTCCCCATCCCAACTTCGCCTAACTCGTGAACTGATCAAGGCCCCAAAAGCACGATACAGTCTATACAGTGGCTTCCAGAGTAGATGACACAATACACAAAAGATGGTTTATATGGCCCCTATCTTAAAAAAGACATGTAGGGGTTTGCGCCATCTACTCTGAAACCACTGCATAAGTCCCATGATTGTCCCATGTCTGACTCTCCTGGCGATGGCACCACCTAAGCAGCCCGTCACTGTGATGGCCCTCAAGAAGTCCATGATCTTGTGGTCATCCGTAGGCAGTTCCGAGTCCAGCTTCAAGTGCTTCACCAAGTCCTCCACAATGAAGAATACGCCAAGAGTTCTTTGCAGATCTTCTCCCAAAATAAGTTGCCGATGAAACACAAAGTGTGGATTACATGCCGTTGGAGAACGGTTTAGATAGGTCACCTTTGGATCTTGAGGAGTAGTGCCTCTCGAATGGGTCCTGTATGTAGTGCTGGCAGTTGGAACCAAAGAGTCCGTAGGACTTGATTTTCCTTGCCACGGAGGGTGCGCGAAGGAGTTCCGAAAGGCCTTTTTGTTGGATATCTAAAACCAAACAGTTATCTGGGAGGAAAGAGCGGTCTGATTTGAACATGATAGCCGATGCGGAATCACTAAGAAACTATGGCCTCAAAACACCAATTGAACAATCCCATCATTATTGTCATTGCCGCTTCTTGCCCGAACAGGAAAATAGGTCAAAGACCTCTAGCTCAGCAGGGCTGCTTTGCTCTCTCCACTGCAGCAAAGGCCACAGCATGGATCGTGGATGCGTTTAAATCATTAAGAGGAATAAGTTGACCTCCATCGCCTCCATCAATGTCTAGAATCTTCACAGAGAGCCTCGGGAAGAACCTGGGCACCAGTCCAAGTTCAAGGCCATGTATGATGCACAGCTAGATGCACGGTGCTTAGACGGCTCAGGTTTTGTCATGATTGTTTGATCTCTGTGAGGTTGTAAGCCTTTAGCCTGACTGAGTTTCTGATGTTCTCTGGAACTTGTGTCATTGAGGACCTGACTGGGTCAGAGTGTAAAACTGAGAGCTTCGCCACAATCGGAAGTGACATGTTGCTTCTTTCTAGCAACCTCTCAAACTATACATTGTTGTTCAAACACTAGGCTGATATTGCCCTCCCCAAGTACCGACGAAGGACTAGGAAGTGAACAGAAGGGGAAACGCAAAACAAAACAAACGGAAACAGCAACAAGAAAACTGGGAGCCATGACTCTGCATTGTTTTGTTCGAGTGTCCAGTATCGAGTTTGCACGAACTGTCGCTTCATCTGCACGAAATTGCAGTGATGCTCTTCTTTCCGGAATCAAGTTTTCACGAAGTGTCGTTTCATCCTCAAGCCTATATAGAGTGCCCCAGTTTCTGGAACGAGTGTACAAGTGGCCACAATGAGCCGTTTCATCTTCAAACAAACTGGTGGTAATGCAAATTGCCCCCCCCCCACCCCCCGCGAGACACTGAATGAATGAGTGTGACGCCTCGAACATGCATAAAAGCAACTGTAAAAACCTTATTGAACAGTGAAGATGCATAAAAGCACAAAACAGCACAAATGCTCTCCCGAATGGCCCTGAAGGAAACTGCATGAAACTGCGAAACCAATGTAAATAGCGCACGAAAACGCTAAAGGAAAACGAAACACCACGGCCTTCAATGTACCGTGTTCATCTGCTGTAAAGTTTCAAGCAAAGCGAGGCTGGGAACCTTGTATATCCTTTCCTGACCTGAATGCCATATCCAACTGCGCATCCTCGGAAAATAGTATGATTCTACAAACCAGATTCAAGCGCCTTCCAAAAAGTGGTACGAGGGTGTGCGAGGCATGCGGATCCACAAGAAGAATCTTCATTCTCAGGGCCAGCTACGTGTCCTCGTCAACCAACAGTTCGATGGCCAAGAAGAAATGGCCAGGATCGACTGATCTCGTCATAGAATCTGCCACAGTCCGAGAAAAGAGAACGTGCTCTGGTGAAAAAACCTGGGTAGGCCTTGTTCCATGTTGTTTCCCAAAGCTCCTCCTTGCTGATCCAGTCGAAAAAACGTGCCGGAGTTCCAACTAGGTGGAACTCGTGAACAAGCAGGTCTGGGAGTCCATTGGGTAAGTCTTCATGCTGATAGGCCCGCTGGTGCTGAAGCACTCTGTCTGCTAGAAAGGCTATGTATGAATCCGGCTGAGGGATTAGCAAAGAAAGAACAAACAATATCTCAACTAATCCGGCGCCTGCCATTTCAATGGTTGCATTCCGCATCTGACCTGAGTCTAAACCACTCCATGCACGGCAGTGAAACACCATGAGGGGCAATTTATATAGTTGGGAGGTCCTTCGCATGTATCGGAAAACAATAATTACTCACTAACGCGTCTGATGGATTGTAGAAACAAAAGCTGAAGCTTGATTGAGCTGTTTCCATTGCTTGGCACTCCACCAAGGTGCAGCCTTCCCCGACAATCTGGGCTGAGTCGCTGAAAGGCACTGCTACCTCCTTCTCCTGCACCGGCTGCAGCAGCAGCATCTGGCCAAACGAGACGGGACGGATATAAGTTGCTCCAAGCAACGGTGCTGAGAGGAATCAGGAGTATCATCACGAATTTAGGTGTTGAGATCTGATGTGGTGTGACCCGAAGTCAGCTGAACATGTTGAATTCTGTAGGACCGAAGTCAGATCCGACTATCTTCCTTGGGTGAAGCTCTCCAGCAGAATTCTGCACCAAAGATCCGGAGATGGAGGTGTGCAACCAAACGCGTGGCCAGAATGGACGTGTCTTGACCAAATTTACTTGGTTTGCTGCCAGGGATAGTGCGACCGCATGCCACACCCAAAGACTAGAGCAGCCAGGATGCCCAATGAGCTAGGCCACGGAGGGATGACTGCCCAAGGTAACATCTCCAGGTGAGTTCCTGGTCAGCACGACGGCGGAGGAAGTTCAATGGGACACAGTTGGGGAAAACCACATATGGATCATTAGGGCAGGATCGGCTCCTTCACAGACCTCATACCACTTTGCTATTCAGGTCGTGGGCACTAGCCCTTTGCGGCGCTTGTCAGTGCTAATGCGAGGAGAACTCCCTGCCTCTGCCAGCTGTGGGTTATGCCTCACCAAGCCATCCACCGTCTCGTTGATATAGTCCAGGGCGCAGGGCTTCAACTTCGCGACGAACAGCGTGGGGGCAAGGAGTGGGTGCGTCTCACCAGGAAGTTTCACTCTGACACGGAGGACTTATAATATATACCCAGACTCTGCATGTATGCCAATGTATGCCATATAATATATGCCTACATTGGGGTGGTTTTGGGGGTCAATGTTGGCAAACATGGCATACATGGAGTGTCTGGAGATATCTATATATATATGTGTATACTCAAGACGTACAAGACCAAGAAAAGAGCTGCAATGGCGGACCATCAGTCACAAAACGTCAAAAAACCACCAGCTAAAGCCAAACCCAAACTACAATTGAATAACTCAGCTGAAATGGGCCTGGTGGGTTTGGGTTTGGCTTTGGCTGGTGGGTTGTCTCCTATTAGTAGTTTGGGTTTGGCTTATCTTCACTGACATGTTGCTTATCTTCACTTTTTTCTCCAATTTATTGGCCTGTTCTCCCTTAGGCTCCGGGGAGGTCCGCTCCACCCCAGATCACCTGGCCATAGTTAAAGACCAGTCTGCTTCGATCACAGGCGGGCTCCGCAAGCTCCGCAAGGCAAAGCGAGTCCATGGGAAAAGCACAACAGAACACACGGTGTCTCTAAACCTGAGTTCACATGTTCCATGTGTCAGCACTAATGATTGAAAACTGCTGTCAAAAGCTGGTGACATTGCATTCTACTACACCTTAGTTATATGCTGGAATTGGCATTGTCTTGACAGGTCTTCACTGGTGATGATCATGGAGAAGCAAAGGAAGATTCAACACACAAAAGAACAAGCAAACACGTGCTGAATTCTGGATGGCAACATGTTTTGACTTGCGATGTTCCACTATGTTCCACTCAGCAATTCTCCAACCTGCTCCCTCCCTCTTGGCTACCTTTAAGATCGTTTATGCAGTTTTTTGGTCAACGGAAACGTCTGCGGCGCACGCAGTCTCGCACGGCACACACTGGATCAACTTCATCTTGCTTATTTAAACGATGCTAGCTTCTAGGTTCAAACTTGCTCATAACCATTCAGCATCACATGATTTGCGACTGATAAACATATAATCATATATATAAATATAATATCACCCCCTGGCTAGCAAGCCACCTTGCTGTTGCTTTCGGCGGGCAGCCCTGGCTCACGGATCTACCTGAACCTGCTGCTTGCGACCTTTTTCTCGAACAATAACTTGGCCGACATGTTCAAGCATCTGTTCGATTTCTCTTTGCACCGGGCATGGGCCAACTCCCTGTTAATGAACACATTCCTGCACCACCTGTTGGTTACACAATATTGCACCTTCCTGAATTCCTCAAGCTTTGTGTAGTGTCAGGTGGTGCAGGAGTTTGTTCATCGCATGTTGAACGCTGGTCGAACAGTAGCAGCATGTTTCTCCTTGAGGTTGCCAAGATGCCGATGGTTCTCCCCTAAGAAAGGAATTACATCATCCGCACATGCACTCAATGGGTCAATTGTGGACCTCTTGGAACAACACCAGGCACCTGCAAATGCAGTGCTACAACGCATTGGGACTGGAGGGGGTGGGGCGGGGCTACATGGGGGAGCAAATGACCGCCCACTGCTGAGTTGAGTGAAATCTGAGCTGGTTCACGCCTGCCTTCAGAGCCAAGCCCCAAAGTCTTCACAGCACTGGTTTCAAAGTCTTCAGCATATCCTGCACCCTGCAAGGTCTAGTTCGCTTGTGTCAGAGTTATATATGTTATATGAATTTGAGCAGGCTTGAGGAAGCGGTTCTCGATGCAGAACATGTGGCATACTTAACGGTCTTTCTCTCCTGCCATTCATCGTTTCTTGCTCCGAGAAAAGTCGTGGTAAGTGCATGTAGGAGCAATCAGCCGTCCCAATCATGGTGGTGAGGGCTGGGTTACACCACAAAAACACACGTCACACCACGCAGAATCACAACAGGAGCATCTGAATACACCTTGATATAAGAATACTATAGATAGAATATTGATAATATATATATATATATTTGAGTCGTGTAGTCAATTTACAGGAGTTTGTTTCGGGAACTCCTCTGAGTTGGATTGTTTGGACCTACTCCAGTTGGACTGAAGAGTCGAAGAAGGCTTGGCCACTGAAGAGGTACCGATCCATCAGCTCAAAGCAGCGAGGTGCCCTGCGAAGGGCTACATCGCCAAAACAGGAAATGACTGACTTCACAGCCAGGCTTGAGATGGGTGAGGGCGTGAAAAAAGATTTGTTCATTTATACTTCGGGGTTCTATGTGTGAATCGTGTGTGAATCGTGTGTGTGATAGACTCTGATAGACGTGAGTGCATGCTGCAAGTGGAACATGAGCAACCAACAAACAATTGAGGGCAGGAGAAGAAACACCCACCTATTCATCGTAGTCGCCCTCGGGGTCTAGAAACACAATCGATGTCTCGTCTTTCGCAATCCTTAGGCAGCGCTGCATCGGCTGATTTCTGTCTTGTGGGCAAGTAGCTGAAGTGTCATGACCCAAAGAAACATGCTCACACACACCCGAAGGTGATGAAACACACTCGCGCACATGCAAAGGCATACACTTTGAACCAAGACTCAGTACCCGAACGCAGCAATCCAAGCAAGGTTTGTTCAAGGGAACCCGTCTCAAGTTCACAACAAAAGGATGCAAGTTGCAGGATGAGCGTTCCGATAGGGGTCGGTTGACTGATCGCTCGCATCCTGATGACGAGCGCTCAGTGCTCCCGTTGTCCGCAGAAACCGAGCGGCTTGATCTTGTGGAAGGCGCAAGCATCCGCAATCCTAAGGTTGATCTCCTCTGCAATGGCCTCCACTGCCTCCTGGTCAGCCAAAATGGCATTAATCTTCCCAATTTGACTGAGCTGGGTTGCCAATTGATTCTACAACATTCGACATTGAATTGTCTCATCTTCTTCGGACCCAATACAGTGGTGTGGGCACCATTTCGGGGTTGGGCAATGGAACAAGCGGTCTTCTGTCCCAATCACCTATGTTTCATTTCTGGCAAAGTGTATATGATTCTCAAAAATACCTTGTGACACAGAATTTTGGACGTCAGCAAGACCTTGAGAAAACAGTGGTCCAGGCAGCACTTGCGAAGACCTCTACTTACGCCATCTATACCCCTATAGGCTCCAGTCATACCTCCTTAGAAGGTATGACTGGACCCTCTAAATCCTTCCCCACCTTCGAAACGCTACTGAAGGATTTTCGAGGGTCCAGTCCTACCATCCTTCCACGTTGGTTTGGAGCCCCTCATGAATCAAGGGCTTCTCGGATCGCCGGTGACCGGCCGCGCCTCGGGTCCGGAGACGAGCTCGGAGAAGGTATACTTCCTGGGGGACGTGAACGACCGGTCGCCCCAAACGACCGGTCACCCGCGGTGACTGACGGACGTCCGAAACGTCGCGTTTCGGGCAAACGGCCGACCTATCAAGCAGTCGGGGAGAAAGGGTCCAAGATCTTGAAGTACAAAGAACCAAACAAATATAGATCCATGTGCATTCTAATGGCCCCCGAATTTGATTGGACGCGAGATGATTCAAGGGTGGGCCAATGATGAAATGGCACCTTTTTCACAAGGGCTTGACTGACCCTCCGGAAGAAAACAGCGTGCCACAACGTGTAACGGGATTTCAAGAGGACTCATGCCAGGCTGGAGCTTGCTGAGCTTGCTGAGCCTGCCTTCATCATAACTTAAGAGCGATGGCCTCCAACCTAATGGCATTATAATGGCATAAGGAACCTAATCAACAGAAAAAAGTACGGCAAGTTGCTTGACGACCTCCGAGATGTCGACGCTGGCCTCACTGCAAAACTACATCGACACACGGTCCGTGGGCCGTGTGTCATGTGACAACGACCAGTCACCGACCCTCCTGAGAGAACGACACGTGCATATTGGCGACGCCAGAGCTTCCAGTACCGGCATTCTACAATTGAATGTTTCACTTGTCATTGAATGGAGCGTCCAACTCCCGAAGTTCTGAGATGTTCAAAGGCTGGCTCTGTGGCTCCGGCTTCCTTCTCTAAGAAACCTCGGCCATAGTCTTTACCTCAAAAGCCACGCTTTGCAACAAAGCGTGCACACAGAGTTCCGAAGCATGTAAAACTCATGGCATGTGGCATTTCTTCTCTGGCTTGTGCCCACATGTGCCCACAAAACGAGCAAGGGCGTCTTTTTCATGGTGAACCATTCCATCACACAAATGCATGCTGCCACATACTGCCACATGCCTTCATTTGTAGAAGAGGCGAGGGGCCAAACTTGTAGTAAATCTCTGGCACCCAATGAACCTTCGGCTGCAAACGGCAAACCAGCCGAACTTCCACATCTTTTCCATCCTGACGATCGGACGAATCGGTCCGGACTTCAAACCATGTTGGCCAAGTTGGTTGTTAAAAGAAAGTGAATCACAAATTCAAGGCAACATGGATATGATATAGTTATAGCTTCTTGCTCATAATGCAAGCCAAATGTACAAACAAATCAGCTGAAGTCTTCTTCTACAATGCGTGTGGAGCAGCACGGTGATTCTGTTCTCAGGGTGCACGCCTCCGGAAACGATTTTTGCATCAAGCGACTGATGGTCACAAGGAACAGCAACAGGCCTTCATGATCCAAGGGTGGGATCAGTGGATTTCACGACTGCAGGTTTGGGCAGTGAAACATTGCAAGTAGCATCAATGAGCCGTGAAATCCACATGCGCATGATTCATGGTCTGTCTTCCGGATCTTCCAAGTGTTCAGGTTGCTTTCGCTGCCCAAACCCCACGCAGAACTGCTCAGAACTGCTCAGCCTGAGGCGCCACTGCGTGCGCCCACATTGCGGCCGCGGAGCACCGCCGACATGCTGCCGCGGGCGCCAGCGCCCAGGCCCAAGGAGACGCCGGCGCCAGTGCCGCCGCTGCGGATCTGCCCACCAGAAACCATCTCACGAGCTCGCGCGCGTTGATCAGAGACCAAGTCCAAACGCTCTTGCCTCAGGACGGTCTGAGTGGATCAGCGATTTGGGGTAAAGAATTGTGATACCGCAGTCGCATAGCACGGAGTTCCATGCTTATTGATCACGTGCCTGACCGCTTTCGCAAGCCTGTTAACAAACACCACTCTTGAATGAAGCTATATATCCTCGTCAAACCAAGAAGGGCTACAACGTTTTGAGCCGCACCCATGGCACTAGAAGAGGTGGGCGTCTTAGACAAGTAGCATCTCGGAGTAGTCCTTGGTCTCTACCACCTTGCATCGATAGTAGGCGTCGCAACGCTCCTTGTCGTACATCCGGACCATCAAGAAATCAGCCGCCATGGAGGCAATTTGCACCAACCTCGACCGGGCGGAGCTGACCGGCGAGGAGCTGAGTATAATCCAGCGGCGATTCACGGCTTGAAGTCGCTTGATCTGACCACAACAAACCAACGAGGCCCTAAATCGATGAACATATTCTCCACATTTCTTTACTCTTCCCAAAGTCGAGTCTATTCTTTCAATGATCCAGCGGTTTTGCCTTTGAGATCCTTTGAGTGTCTTTTGGGCAGTGCCACCTCTTTTTGGGGGTGTTTGAAAGCTCGGATGGCACCTCACCGGAAAACCTAAACGATTTATACCGGGACCCTCAACCGGGGTTGTTCCAGCCAAGCTCACGACTGATGCGGATTTGCCAGAAAAACGCTGGTGCAAGTCTTTTATGCCAAATGAATGCCAAGGTTGATGCTGTAGATCCGCAACTCGATGTGGCTTTGAAAAAACTAGGTAGCTGCGCGCGAGCTGAGGATGAAAGGACAAACGCTCGGAAAATATGCGCTCTGGACAAGCCGAGCAGGCGAAGCACAGGTGAGATCGACTGGTTACACACGGTAAAGCAAGATTTCTGAAGCTAAGTCCTTTTACCAAAAGTGACAGCCTTGCGAAAGGTTGTCGGCCCGTCACCTCTTAGACGGTGCAATTTGCCTTGGGCTAGATACTTGGTTTCGTGGCGTGCTGCATCAACGTGTTTCATCCTGTGTCATGTTGTTCCACAACGCAAGCGCAAGCTTTGCCTCAAAGACTCAAGGCTGCAAAAATATGCAAAAAACAGTCGTATAAATGGCTGGCCACACAGTCAATGTGGAAGGCCAATTTGTGAGATGGTATGCGATGAGCGACAAACAAACTACTCGACAGTTTTCGTTCGGAAGGGGTGTTGCATGGCTTAATGGCTACGCACGCCATGGGCAGGTGTTGGACCAGTACGACCCATTACAGCCACAGCTCAGCGTGTGCTCTATTCCTCCATAGGTTATATAGGCTTTTGGAACTCGCAGGGTAGGAGCCAAGGAGGCCGTGTGACTGTGGACTTTGTCATACAATGCTATGCATGTCTACACCAAAAGGTGTTTGCAAGCAACAACTTTTCACAAAACGGTTCTGCGACCCATGATCTTGTCAAGCAATTCATCAACCAAGGGATTCAATGGTTTTGTCAAAAAAGGCTTGGTAACCAAAGTCCTTCACAAAACGGTTTGGCAACCAAGGGCCTAGTCACTAGTCACAAAGCGATTTGGCAACCAGCCCACATCTTCGAGCATCAGACTTATGGCAACACATGGAAGATCATGGAACTATCGGCCTCTATACCATCCCAAAGCCGCGTGGACAAATCTGCACGATTTTACCAGTGATAATTGATAAGTCTCATGATTTCAAATACGTGACCAGCACTTAAACACAAACACATAACATGCAACCATGCACCCACGATGCACCGAAGCCATCATCCAGGCTCAAGCAGCCGGAAAGCATGCTCTTGGAAAAATCATGAGGGATGATGGGATGATGAGGGTATAATCTATGAAGCTGACCATCAGTCTGGACGCTGAAAACGCAATGAATGTCGCATCTATGTGGATATAGGAGAAACATGGAGAAACTATGTAAAACTTGAAACTGGCCACTGTGCAGTCCAGTGATGTACTGGATCTGTCATGGCATCTTTTGGGGCTCATTTTTTGAGGCACACATTTTTGGATCGGTGATTTTTTCTCCGGCAAGTCAGGCATGTCAACAGCTACAAACTGAAGCGAAATGGTCGGCTTCAGACTAGCGGCTAGCGGCAATCATCACCAGCCTGCAGGACTGCCCGCCACACCATGCCAAGTTCACTGTACAAAGGAGCGTTGTCCCAGTAGTCTTCCCTGTCAGCAACATGTCAACTTCAACATGATCTAGGAACATGTATAGGAACGCAGATTGCAATGTTGGTGAATTAACATGTCTCTCTGACATACTAAGCAGGCGTTGGGCATCCCAATGAAGGGATAGTGAGCTGCTTGCCATAAAAGGCGTAAGACATCTCAAGACTAGAAACTAGATGACGGGTGGCTGCAGGAACTACAAAACGAGAACGAAATGAAATCACAGATCCGATGGGCGCAAGCAGCTCTGAGAGACATAGAAATGTGCTCCCTGCCCTCACTCATCTAAAAGCAAGAGCTCAAGCATAGCTCAGCAAGAGCTTGACTGATAGCAAGCTGCAAGCCACGCAACCCATGCCAGAAGTCAAAAAAGAGATCCATAGCCAAATTGGTTCCCAAAAGTTGCACTGGCAGGATCTGATGGGACTAATCTCTGTGAGATCATCCATTCGCCACCAGAACCAAGCTGGAGCTGCGGAACATACCTGCAGAAGGCAGATAATTGCAGTTCCTCCGGACCAGATCGTCATGACCCTTCGCCGCTCACGGTCTGCGGCGGATTGACATTTCCAACTATGCATGAGCGCAACCAAGGCCAGCGGACCTGCCCACATCACAGATGTGGCAGTGAAAAATGTCACACTGAGTGTGGCAAGGCCGGCAAAAATGCCACTTGCTGTGGTTGTCGCATAACCGTACACGAGTTGAAGGATGTCTTCGATGAAGTGGGTCAAGACCCAGAGCAACAATACAAGATGAACAAGGGTGATGCTGCCAACTCCAACAAATTGAAGTTGGTTTTCCACACAAGGCAAGCGGTTGCAAAACCACAATAGCCAAGAAAGCCAGCTGACAGCAGAGGCTATGATGAACACGGCTGAATCTTGGATGGAAAGAAACGACATGAAGTCCGAGCTGGCGAATGGCGGCTTCGAACGGAGATGCTATCCGCGCAAAGAACCAAAAACACCTCTGCGAGCAAAGTGGCAGCGGCATTGTTTGATATCCAGTCTGAGAGTCAAGTCAGAGCCATAATGAATCACTTGCAGCTTGCGAACACAAAAGTTAGGCCGCGTCAGCAACACCACCAAAAATGGATCATCAGTTCTCAACCACTACGAACTGATGATCCATTCGCAAGAAGTACCAACTGCCAAGTCATCATGGAAAAGAAATTGACAAACCTGATATTGTAATTGATGCCATCAAGAAACCATTCATAAAACCATTGACAAACCGTTGGGAACGATTGACACACCATTCATAAACAATCAATAGACCCTACACATGACCGATTCACGAGCCATTCATAAACCATGAACATAATGAACATATAAGTACCATATGGGTATTTCCATGAATAGGGGTACCCCCATAAGCCATGATTTACGTACTAAAAACAAGCATTTGGGGTTGCTGATTGGGTCTCCCCATCGGTGAGAACCCTGATTTACAAACCACCTCTTTCCAGCTCGGACCCCGAATCTCTTCGGCTCTTCACCGCAAAAATTCACCCAGGAGAGCTTTCATTGGGGTTTCCAGACTCGCTCGCCAACAACTCCAGGTGTTCCGCCCAGAAACGCCAAGCACGAGCCCAACTGGATCACAATGGGCACCAGGCTAATCTGTCGACCGATCCCAGAAGAGTCCACGATGAGTCGCAGGCCGTACCTGACGGTGGCAGGGTGGATGGTTCACTGCCACCTGCAGCTGTGGTCGTCATGTGGTTGCCAAATTGACCCTTCGGATTCCTGACAAGGTCTTGATATGAAAAACCGGGCTTGCCGGACATATCCCTTAGAATCAAATTCCTGAAACATATTGAACCAGTGATGTTCCAGGTGATATCAGCATCTATTATACTGGAAGCATTTAGGATCATTTAGGCAAGAGTTCGTGTCCAGCACCTGAAATCACACACTGCCTTCCGTTGTCAACCACCTCTTGGGATTTCTTTCATCTCTTTACCATCCCAATCGTCCATCCCTCGCTCTCCTTCACCCAGATGCATATAAACGGCCTCTCGCGTCTCAACCCCATTGGTCGTCTTCTTCTTCGCCCGCTTCTGTACGAAGCCAGTGCCCGCATCCAGCCGCTTGACCGAAAGTTGCGGTTCACAATCAGAGCGCCAGCTCAGGTCACAACTCCAAAAAAAGTTCACCTGACTTGTCAGATCTCGTCAGGTGCAGTTCCAATGGTAAACCGGACTTTGGGACTCTGTGGGTTATTGGGGGGGGCACACTCATGGCGAAGATGAGATGAAATGAGAACTAAGCCATGCGACATGGACACGCACTGCGAACTGCCAATATCTAGATTCTAGATACTTGATGATGATACTTGGAACTGTCTGTGACAAAACCACTTTTGCCACTTCTTTGGTAAATTCAAAGAAATTCCGTAGAGTCAAGCTCATGGGCTGAGAACAAACATCCATATGCAGGGATGAAAAGGATGAACCCCATAGTAAAGTGACGACATCCGATCTTAGACCATTCACTATCATTCTATTCGTTCCATACTATTCTTTGTCAATTTGAAGCCCACATAAACTAACGCAACCCCCCTCCACCAAAGCCGCTCTTCCTCCGGTTGAGGCACCGCAATGATGCACCCGGTTTGGGCCACATCTTCCAGCTTCACCGGTGGATCTGCTAGCTCCAAGAGTTGTGGAACTGTGATGTGCTTGTGCAAGGTGCTCGAATCCTCGGATCCACCGGCCGTGGCGGCGTCGACGTCCGGCGTCGACGTCCGGCGTCCACGTATGCGGCGCCATGGCGGCCGCCGGTCGGACCTGCAAAGTTGATAAACTCGAGTTCGTCATGTCAAGTCTCTCTTTCCTGTTTCTTTTTGTTTTGGAGCCCTTTGGCCTTCGAAGGCCTGGAGCATCTGGCCTGTGTCAGGCTGTGGAAGAAACTACTAGCTGGGACGCCCAAAGACTGCTAGTGGGGCGCCATAAATTCCATTCGGAAGGAAGGAGGAAGGAGTCAACCGCCTTTCAAAGAAGCAGGGTCCTACTCAAGTACTGTAGGTCCACGATTAGCTCGTGGACACACCCAAACTCGTCAAAAGCAGGTGACCAGACCAGTTGATAGGTTTGGTTACTGTATATAGTTTGGCTGTGTGACCAACCACAAAGAACAGCCTTCATGCTGACAGTGCAAACAGAAAAAGTCGCCCAACCAAGGGGCCCAAACGGACCCAGCGCACAACTGCAAAACATGTGGTCACCGTGGTGACCAAGCTGATCATTCGTTGGTCAACGTGGACAACTGAACAATGAACCGGACCAATCATTCTTTGGTAAACAAAAGCCCCTATCAAACATCCTGACCCTGATCATTTTCAGGGGTGGGATCATCCCTCCTGTTTGGGGCATTGGGTGGCAAAACACTTCATGTGAGGATTGCCATGAGTCGGTGAAACCACATTGCCACCCACCAGGCAGCTTCGAAGGTCTCCAAGCCGAAAGCCCAAAGCCAACAGTGTACTCTGAACATCTCTGAACTCCCTATCTTGCCCAACTTGGCTTGCATCTTCCCCCACCCACCATCACCCACCCCATTTCCACTTCCCCGGTCAGGACCACCTCCCCCCCCCCACTCTCCACGCTTCCGGGCTGGAGCCCGCCACATGGAAGGTCTGCCCGATGCTCGGAAAGCCGATGCCCGCCACGATCATCAGCACCGCGTCCTCCAGGCCCAAGATCTCCTCCACCTCGGCGCCCTGCGGTGGGTGCTCCATGTTGCCATCCCCTAAGGAGGGGCACCAGCCTCACAAGATGAGACTCGATGAGAAAAGGAGAAAAGGTCTGTTTCCCCAAACAGTGGAAAAAAACACACACACACACACACATTTTCTGCAAAAAAACACCCTCACACACACTGTTTGTGTTTGGGGTCTCGTACCGGGATCATTGTAAGGATCGGAGGTGAATCCATTTCGGAAAGCAAGTGGCTGAGACGTGCAATGATCAACGTGGGTCTGTCCCCCCATGGGTCAACCCCTCAAAAAATAGACGTGACACAAAGGACCCCTTTGAAGCCTCATTGGGGAATTCCCCAACACATCCCAAAACCAAAGGTTTGGAAGGGCACACCAGGCCCATTCAGGCCCTCTTATCTCTCTGGTGGGGGGGTAGCATATTCATCCGGAAGCATTCCACAACGTGTCCCGCAAAAAGCGCGCCGGGACCTACCCCATCTGAAGCTGGAAGGTGGAAAGTGGATGCGATCTCTGACCAAGAGGCCTTTGACCTCGCAGAAGTTCTCTGGACCACAGGTGGCATGCTCTCCGCAGGGACATCGCTCAGGGGAATCCCAATCGATGCAAGTGCCCATCTTCTGGTCCTTCACTGTGACCTCGGTGGGGCGCCACTTTCAAGGAGGGGAAAATATAAGTGTGTCAATGGTGTGTCTGAGAAGATGGAGACCCTCCAAACCTCACTGGGCTGAGCGGTCGGAATTGCCAGACGTACAAAGCCGACCGACGCCAGTAGTGGAACCAAAATCGTTTCAAGTCCACAGAAACCCCCTTGTGAAAGGAGATGAAGGGGGCGAAACACAAGTCCGAAGCCTGAGAAGACACAAACCCCGAGCGAATGCGAAGCGTGATTTGCGCTGAGTGGCTCGCCGGGTCATCAGAAAGGCACCCGAGGGCTCGATGATGGGATAACGAAGGTCTGGAGCATCGAAAGCCTTGCCATCCTGTGAAGTTGCACACCACTGTGGTGCCGGGCAATGATAGGTTGGAAAAGTGGGCTGCTCGGGGATGTCTATCATTCATATCATACCGTATACCTTTATACTGTTCAATTTCAGTCAGTCACTGTTGCCTTCAACATAGCTTGAAACATGCAAACATGATTTTAAACATGTTTTTGTGCACATATCATAATGCATAGTATAATTTAAAGTTTAACAACCACTGTAGCGCCCCCAACTCTTTCACCCTGCCAACACGTCCTTCGTGAAACCTTTGCCTTTGAACTTGGTGATCACAGCACCCAGCCCTGGCTCCTGACATGGCTGGGTGAAGGCTCAGAATGCAACTAAAGACATCAAAACAGTTTGTTTCTTGAGGAAACGCATCTTCACAAAGCTCAATGTTCAAGTTCAGCTTCAAACGGTGAACAGGTTGTTCTTGAGAACACCGGGGTTGATCACTTTCTCCCTCCCCACACACCCCCACGTGGGTCGAGTCTAGTCGTCGATCCTATAGAAACACATTGAAGAAATAAGCCACAAGGTAGTTCAACCACACTCAGTTCACCTGTGTCCATGTGTCCAAGCAACAGTTGTCCAAGCAACAGCATGAATCACACGAAATTCGCTTCCAGGCTTCCTAGGTGCGTTCTCAGTCACCCAGTCGTCTTTTCCCCGAACAAGAGCGGCCGCCCTAAAGTCCTGAAATGTATGTCGACCCTCGATGTGAAAGACCACGATCTGGATGTAAAGCACCACAATGGTCACAATGCCCCAGTAGAGGTAACCCAAATTGGCATCCTGAATCCGAACCACACGGTTGGTGTGGTAGGCGCAAATCTTGTTCCAATCCCAACTACTTCTGGCGACTGAACGCCGTGGGATGTCATCATCCTCGTCGACTACACGCTGCATTTCTGTGCCAGCCATGGCAGCCAAGAAATATCAAAGTCAAAGGCACAAAATGTGTGACCTAGTCTGCGATTCGAAAGCGTTGCCAGTCTGGCGATTCGAATGGACTGATTTCAGCCATTCTTCATGTCTGTTCTGCTGGCGAATGAGGCTTGTTCGTTTCAACCTTCTGACCTGGCGAATGGGCAGGTGTCATGCCATGTCTTGCATGTCATGCTTTGTTGCAACCACTTTTGCAAACCACTCAATTGCCGCCCACTAAAATGCTGCACCGGCTACAGGCAAACATGTCTTTGGTCATTCTTTACAGCTCTACAGGGCCCAGGCGCAGTATAAGCTGAAAACATCTGAAAACGACTCCTGGCTACCATGAAACCTGTAAAACATGGCCGCTATTTCGTGAGAATGTTCTTGATTTGGTCACACTCTTGTAAAACCGATGCGGATGACACCTTCACAAAGGTAGCATCACTTGCTGGGTGGTGGATCCAAAACTGATCCCACTCGCTTTGAAAGATCACATCACTCTGATCCGAACAAACCAGAAATATCCAGAAATCAGAAATCACGAATTGTTCTCATCTTCTATTTTCTCTGCTTTGAGCATGGTCTGTGAAACCAAACGACTTGGCCGGGCTCACATCAAACGCATTGGCCTTCAGCCCCATGCTGCCATCTGTGAACCAAACTGAGGCGCACAGCCTCCGCCGAAGCCGCCAGCGGGCGCCGCTCCGCAGGGTGCAGCTCCGCAGGGCTGGGGCGGCCCCGGCGGGGGCATTTGTGTGGCAAAGTAGGAGGCGGAGGGAAGGGTTTGAGGTGCTGATCCATAAGGGGCCGGATTGTTCCACCAGTCATTTTCACTGTCCGATTCACTGTCCCAGGCTGTGCTGGGTGTGGCGGCGCCGAAGTGCATCTTGGGATCTGGGGCTGATTGGAACTGATTGAAGGAAGGCTGAGTGGACTGGGAGTATGGCTGCTGCATTGGGGGTTGAGTGTGTTGCATCTGTTGAGGCGGCATGGTCTGTGGTGGCATGGTTTGCGGCGGCATGGTCTGTGGGGGCATGGTCTGTGGGGGCATGGTCTGTGGTGGCATGGTCTGTGGCGGCATGGTCTGGCACGGCTGGCAGGGTTGGGTCTGACAAGGCTGACAAGGCTGTGGCTGGCTCAAAGGTGGTGGCGCTTGTTGACCAAATGCCGGTCCTTGTGGCTGACCATAGGGTGAGTTCTGGGCATAAGCTCCAAAGGATGGATCTGGGTAGCTTGGAGCTGATTGCGGTGGCATGGTTGGAAAGGCTTGTGGAGCCGCCATTCCTGCCATTCCTGGCATGCCAAAGGAAGCCTCAGGCTGTGTGGGGAAGCCCTGAGTAGAGAAGTCACCTGCACTTGGAAAACCACTGGCATCTGGGAAGCCGCTGGTCGTGTCAAAGAATCCACCACCCCAATCATTCCCTGTCGACTCTGGCTCTTTGGATTTCTTCTCTTTGGAGGTCTTTTTGCTCTTCGAGTCTTTCTTGCTTTTGGACTCTTTCTTGCTTGGCTTGGATTCAGCTGGGCTCGCACCACCTCCGCCTCCACCCCCTCCAGCCCCTTCTCGAACGACCTTGTCCTCCGGCAAACCCAACAAGTGATTGATTGCACGATTTAAGTCTTTGTCTGCACCGTCCCAAAGTCCAGCCAAAAACTGCCGGTCCAAAGGTGGGCCTGACAAAATGATCTGTGCCTGTTGGCAAAAACTGTCAAAGTCTTCACCACTCATGGCGCGACCAAATAAAACAATCCCGGAATCGATGCGGCGGTTCTGAACGAAGCAGTAAGCATAGAAACTAGAAGTCTTGTGGGTCTTGTAGCATTTGCTGAACAAAAGTTTCTCCCTTCTTCCTACTTGCAAATCTAGTCTTGACCATGCTGAACAATTTCAATAACACTTTGAACCTAAAAGTAGCGGTACAAGTCACAGCTCCTGCAGAAGCTGCATACAATCATCATGAAGCCACACGTTCCTTCCGTTTGGTACATATATAAATCTATATATTATAGAACAACATATATAAATCTATGATACATATATATATATATATATTCACCTAGAACCTGATTGACCCCTGTTTTGGAGCCCAAACATTCTCTTTTCCGATCAAAACTAAGGTCAAATGGGTTCTAGGTGTATATATATATATGCCGCCACCGTCGCCAGAACGGCCCTGCATCGGCCCGGCATCTGGCCTTAGTGGGATATTCCTTGATAAAGCGCTTCTTCACGGGAATCAAGCGGATGTTCACCTGAAGGACTCAACTGGGCGAGATGAAGATTCTTCGGTTCACTTCTTTACACGGAGACGTTGTGGACTGACAGCTGGGTCTGTCTCAACAACAACTCTTGCCAAGTGGGTCTGTCTCAACCTTTCGGTAATTACAAAGCTCATCTAGAGGTCTTGTGGACATGCACCTGCGTGGTGCGTGTCCAAACACCCCCGTGATTCTTGAAGGGGACACACCTCATGACAAAAGCACCGCCAGCCATCCTCTCGAATTGGATTCCACTCACTTGGCTCAAGACTCTAGCTCCCCAAAAGAAAGGACAACTGACAAACATATGGCGCTACGGTGGATGGCCCAAAATGCATGAACATGAAGCGAACCCTGTGCATACTCCAGGCGCTCAAACGGCTGACATACTGGATCAGGACATCAACAACTGCCAAATGAAACACCACGAGTTTCAACCTTGATCTCCACAGGCATCATTGCAAACAAGTGCAATTAATATATATATATATACAAACGTAACTGCAAATCGCCGTGCAAAAACCCTACGTGTTCGGAGCACGAGGCTTTCGATCCGACGACGGAGTCATTTCCATGCGGCGAAGTGACACACTTGTGCCAAATTGGAATGGCCAAAACCATCTGGCTGTCATCGTAGATGAAGGGCCGCAGATTTCCTTGCCAGTCCTGCCAACATAAATCTCTTGATGCATTGATCTGTGGCATCCTCTTCTTTGCCGAGTTCCTTTGTCACACATGCACCGACTCTGAAAAGTGAGAACTGGGATGAACAGGGATGATGCTTGTTGAGGTGCTTTGCTTTGCCTTCAACTTCAACTCGATGAGTTCCCCACCACAAATGACAGTCGTGCAGGTGTCTTGACAATCCACCTTCACAACAGAAACATCTGGAACCATTTTTTGCCAATCCAACATCTAATGGATTGGAATGGATCTTGAAACGTTCTTCAACCGGTGCCCATTCTAATTCACAACAGAAACATCCTTCATCACCTGTTGGATAAGAATGGATTAAACCAACCATGACCAACCTGTCCAGGATCAAGGTGCCACCGCTACGAACATGTATATACACCGAAAGTCCCCCAACCCGAACATCCCTGAAGCACGGACATGTCGGAAGCTTCTCTTCGCTCGATGTAAACAATGGAACATATGGAACACGGGAATTTCAGGCATCGCCGACACGGGTAGCAAACCTGTAGCAGGTAGCAAACCTGTAGCAGGTCTGAGAGGCAAGGTTATACAGTAGAAACAAAAAGTAAGCACCACCATGGGAAAACTGACATGTTTAGGATTCTTAGGGCAAAGGTTGGATAATCCTGGAATCACTGAATATCAACATTGCGGAAGTAAAGCAATCCTGGCACACTGACTAATACTGTCCTCAATCCAAGCCAAACTAAGCACTGTATGTCAGCAAGCAAGCAAGCAAGCAAGCAAGCAAGGACGAACGCACGCACGCGCGCGCGCACACACACACACACACAGCAAACCAACAAACTGCACACCTGCAAAAAGCTGGCGTGCTTTTTTCGCTCCTCGATGAGCCCCACATGCCCCGGTGTAACCCGCTTCATAGAGCTTAAGGCTGCCAAGCTCAAGGTCATCCCTCCTGCAGGGGCGTCAGCGAGGAGTCTTTGGTCTCAGAAGCCACTCATCGAAAATGTCACGCGATTGTGGAACGTGTTTGGAGCCTTCATATGTGCCGCGGTGTGCCAGAATAGGAAGAAACCCCCAAAAACATCTGGAAGTGGTCGCACTGTTGAACATATGTGTATGATACTGTATGTACATATATGCATACGTAGTATAATTACACTGAACAGTGAACGAAGCTATGTGTGCACACCTATGCCAGCTGCCAATACTCCAAGGACCTCAAGCCAAGCCAGGAGGGCTCTTGTCTTGAGTGAGCTAATACTCTCATCTCTTTGGCGGAACTGTATGATGCCATCACCTCTCCCATGGCCTATGACCTCGGGCCTCGGGCTTTTGGTTCCAGCAAGGTCCACCGGGGCCGAAACGTGACAAAGAGACAGCCGTAGGTCCCTCAGCTCTCCTACGAAACGTGCCAGGTTTTTCTGATTGTCCACCAGCCGCAGCCATCCGGCAATCCGCTGCCATCGGCTGGTCATGGGCAAAAGTGGGCGCTCTTGGAAAGTGGAATTTGTTTCCGGCAACAATGAGCCAATGGATTTAAAGTTGGCAAAGGACACCCATGAACACCCCAAACATGGTGATCAAGTACCTTCGCCAAATCCACTTGGTGCCTGATGCCTGTGATGTTGATCAAGCAGGTGGAGCATGGAGCATACGCATTTTTTGGGAATAATTAGTGGCACCTGCCCAGGAGAGTCTTGCTTCCAGTCTAGAATGCCACTGCGTACCTTGAAGCTCTCTGCCGATGTATGGGTTTGACCCTTTCCAGGAGCAATCGCACCATCTCGTCACTAGTATGGCTGATGTCTGATGTCTAGTGTGGCACTTGTGTTACTTTGGCCTTATGGATGTACTTCATGTCTTGATCCTAAATATTGCTACAAAGCTACAACCAATGACAGGGTCAGCTGGTGGCATGCAAGCTATTGCAAGCTAAACCATCCTACACCCTAACCATCGCTAACCCTAAAGTAGCGGCAAAGTCATTGACATTTCGTAATAACTCTCAAATTGTCAAATGACTTCTGAAGTTGAAAGGAGTATCTCGCACATGCTGACGATCTTCGTCCATGGGACGATCGAATCACCACCTGACCCACCTCGTTTACAACAACCTTATTAACACCTGACAAACATGAGCACCCTGAGATCGATTCTGCACACAGCACCAAGGTCAACAATCGAACATGGACTTTCCTTCATCGATTTCAGTCCACCTGTCAACGGTTCAACGCCCAAAGCAGCTGCCACGGGAAACATGCCAGGAATGCTGGGCCCAAGCTATGAAAGGTCTGGGCATCCTCAAAGAAAGCGGGCCCACGAAGGACATAGAAAGGCCAATATTATACATACACACACACATAATGTATATATATATATATATCCTTCTTTTCTCACTTTCACTCTAAGCTGCCCATGCCTCTTATTG